AACAAACAACTATTGGCAACTGGGTGATTGATCAAAAATATTGAATGTATGTCTTTCCAATGAAGATTGTTATTCCATAACTGGGTGACTGTATTTTCATGAATGGAAAAATAAATTCCTCCATTCAAGTCAAACTTCAATTGATCAACAATTAGTGAATTCCATTCCCGTATCGTTCGCATTCCACGATACTGAAACATCTTGCCATTTCTCTTAACGAGCCTACTTCACGTCTGTGGAATGTCAAGACGTTAAATGGTACGAACCGAATTGGCGAGGTCGGCTATCAAGTCCCTAATGAGGTTGAAAATCGCCAGACTTGAACGACTGAAACAGTTTATTTCTTTCACTTTGACTAATGAAGCTCCTTTCTGTCGTGTGTGGAAGGGGAAAATGGAACTTTTCTCAGTAAATAATTCAGAACAGTCTTGAGTTCCTGTTCATGTCGTAGAAATGAGATTAAGTGTATTTTTCCTGTTATCTCCTCGCAACTGGGTTATTTTCTGAATTATCATTAGAATGCGTAGGGGTATTATTTTTCAATGAAACAGACACATCTTTCCAAATATGAGTTCAGTGTTGGCTAATGGAAACTATTATGAACACTTTTGCGGCCTACATAGCGAATATTATATGAAAAGTTACAAATTGCATAGGTCAGGTTTCACCTCTTTTTACTCAAATCGGTAAATCTGCTATTTTCCATACGAAGTGAGTTAAAACTTGTAGATTTAAAAAACTGGCCCAATGGAACAGCATAGCCTGTACATTATACCATTCTCAGAACCATGTCAATATGATCTGGGGTCAAAATCGAACTTTTGTGAATGAAAAATATGTTCACTTATATTGGGTGTGGGATTTCAACGAAATGTTTCATTCGTTTGAAAGGCATTATGTGTCATTATGTGTGAAATATAACATCGTTCAAATGTCCACTACAATGTCAGCCCACCTTTTTGCTGAACACATTTTTGTTTCATGACCTTATTGAAAAAAATTTGTTGAAGAATTGTTCATCCAATTCAGGCCAAGAGAAGTTGGTAATCATCGACCTATAGAGCTCGCCGTTGACAGTGAGGGCCGGGCCAACGTCATTCTCAAAGCAATATAGACTGATGACACCGCCAGCCCAAAATCCACACCAAACAGTGACTTTTTGTGGATTGATGTCTTCCTAAATTCGACAATTTGATCCGTTCACGTACCTATTCATCCAGAACTGGGCCTCATCACTGAAGATGATTTTTTGATGAAAATTAGGGTCAGTTGCCAGATTCCATTCAGTGAACACGCGTCGTTGTCTACGGTCTTTTACCTTCAGTTCCTAGGTCAGTTGAATTTTGTACGGGTACCGGCCTAAGTTGTGGCCTCCGTAGTGCCGAGTTCTTGTGAGCAAAATCGACTGCTTCGGATTATCCTTCACACTCGCACAGACATGAATAATGACATTGCTCTACGCTGGCCTGGCTCGGAAGCCTTACAACTATCCAACTATCCAACGTCACCACTGACAAGGGGCCCGTGCTCATCCAAACCAGCGGAGGTCGAAGACCCAAAACTTAATTGATTCCCAAAATAAATTACAATTCATCACATGTTACACTATTGCATTACAATATTATATTATTTGAACTTAAATAAACAATCATAAGTAACATAAAATGAAGATAATAACAAACTAGTCCATAACAAAGAAAAATACTGCTTTATTAGGCTCATCATAATTAAAATATAGAAACTGTTTTTATTTTTCCTGTTTTCAACAATACAAATCCAGTAGTGTTTGTTTTTGACATTAATTTTGCCAGAATCATCAGAGTTTCACAAATCAGTTTATGAGTACTCAAAAGGTCTGGCCAGATTGGGAAGATCGTCGTCATTTCAGTTTTGGCAAACTGGTAGCTTGCCTCTCACTCGTCCCGCTCATCCCTCACTACACTCTCTGCCCATCCATTCGCAACGCGTATCCATTCATTTATCCTTCCATTCCTATCCCTCAACCCTCCCTTTTCTTGTTCCAGCCGTTCCTTCTATTCTCGCCACAAAACTCTATCTCCGTCCATACATCTCTCGATCACATGTTATGCCGTTTCAGGCTTCCCCCATCCACAAAAGCAGGGCACCTCCGGTGCCAGGTTGAATCTGGCCGGGTAACCCGGGAAGTTACCGTGCCCCCTGAACAGTTGAACTGCCTTCCTCGACAGATCGAGTGACTCATACTCGACTCTGAAGAGCAGTCGCCCAGTCGTGCCGTTATCCCATTCTCGCTGCCATTCTTCCGTGATCCATTCCTTTATCTTCTTCCTCTCGTCTCTCTTGCTACTTCTTTTTCTTACATTCCATGAAATTATATCCCTTCTAATGCCTTTTGCGGCCTCCTCGTGGGCCTTTTTATTTCCAGGATTGTCTTTTTGATGTCCTTTCCGCCATATGATTTCTGTCCGTGCTCCCCTTTCATACCTTGCTTCAATAATTCTCTGAATCACAACCACCTTTTTATTCTTCACTCGTATCGCTTTCCTCCTTTCCACCGCCATGGCGGAGTCACAAATGACTCTAACATCCTCATTCATGCCCCACATATCTATCACTCTCTCTATCGCAATCAGTTCGGCAAAAAATATTGTCTCTGCCTCGTTGCGAATTTTTCCTTTTTTAATTTGAGTGTGACCACGTAACAGCAAATCATTGTTGAAAACAAAAAGTTCTTTCTGATTAGCATAGTTATACTTAGCTATACGGAAGGATATGATTAGGTCCCCATGGAGCGACGTTGGTCAAAAGCTAGCAGTTGTGCCATCCTCAGTCTTTCGGGATAGGTTGGACGCACTTTACCAAAAGTCAGACGTGTGGCTCGACGCTGTACATTTTCCAACAAGTCCCTATTGCACCATAACAGGACACCACACTGAACCTGCATACTCCATGATTGGACAAACGTAGGTTTTGAAGAGTTTTATGGAACTTGAATATGATAGATGGAGGAACGTTTTGTGGATGAAGTAAATCAGTGTGTTTGCGCGTTTGCATGTGGATATTATATGTTCGGATAAGTTAAGTCAGTATTAATAGTCACTCCCAAGTCTACATGTGAGGACACTGTACGTAACGATTGACCGCTTATTGTGTACGTATGAAGTGGATCGTTCTTTCCTTGATGAAGTACGACGAATTTGTCGACGTTAAGAGGTAGAAGCCAATCCTCGCACCACTGACTAATCGAGTTGAGGTCTTCTTGAAGGGAATGATGTTCGACTAAGGCATTTCCATACAGTTTAGTATCATCGGCATAAAACGACTTGCTGGACTTTATGTGAAGATCAAGATCACTTGCATGAACAACGAAGAGGAGCGGGCCAAGAACAGATCCCTGGGGAACTCCACTTGTGACTTGTCTGTGCGAAGAAAAATAGTGACCCACTTTGACCGTGAAAGTTCTATCTGTCATGTAATTTTCAATTCATAGGTTTAGTTGGCCTCGAATACCGTGTGTGTCAAGTTTATGCATTAGCCTCCTACTGGGGCCCTGTCGAAAGCCTTGGCAAAGTCAAGATAAACGATATCTGTCGGTATTTTCCTATCGTAAGCTATAGTCCAATCGTTCATGCACTGTAGTAGATTGCTGGTGGTTGATCTACTTTTGACGAAACCATGTTTTTCTGGTGGTATGATTGCGTTTTTTGTTAAAGATTCTGACATATCTTCTACGATGATGGATTCCATTACTTTGGAAGGTACGGATGAAAAACTAATGGGCCTGTAGTTGATTGGATTGAGTTTATCGCCTTTTTTGAAGATAGCGGTGACAGATGTCTTCTTCCGAGCCCGTGAGATGCGAGATTTTGCGAAAGAGACTGACATGATTGTTGACAACGGAGAGCAGAGAGTTTCGACAAAGTTTTTGAGAAAAAAGGGGCTCATTCCATCCAAACCAGGAGATGTATTCGATTTAATGTTCAATAAATGATTTTTAATTTTTTCGAAGTAAACGTCACATTAGTCAGATTATCACGTAGTCGATATGCAATAATTTATGGTAATTGGTCATCTCGAGGCTCAACCATGAAGAAGCTTGTGAAAAAATCGGCCAAAATCTCTACTGATTCGATGTCTGTAGAACACAAGGAACCGTCAGGTTTTCGTAGGAGCGGAATGCTCACTTTGGTGTTCAGGTTAGATCGTATAAACTTGTACAGTTTTTCATTATTTTCAGAGTCTGCAATAGATTCTTCGAACTCACGACATGAAGATCGTATTTTTGATACCAAGTGTTTTGAGAAATTTCAATGAGCTTGGTAATCTTCTGTGGCTTTTGATCTTTCCTATTTTTTACAGAGTTTTTTTTGTGATGTACGAGTGACATTATTTCGAAATTGATCCATGGTTTGAGAGGATTTTTCCGGCATATTTTGTTGCAAGAGTTGCAAGAGGCAGTGACGGTCGAGTAGAATTTTTCTCAGAGAATATCAACGTCATCACATGCGTTAAACAGTTGTGTCCAATCGGATAACTGATCAAAGTCGATTATTTTGAAAACTTCGGTTTGGTACTTGTTTGGCATGTGAATGTTGAGCTGAACAGTTGCGTAGATTACTGCATGGTCCTATAATCCAATAGGTGGTAGAATTTCATGATCTGTGATGATGTTTTCATCTTTGGTTGCAATGAGGTCAAGAACAGATGGCTCGTTGTTGATTCGAAATCTAGTTGGTTCAGAGATGAGTTGGAAAAGGTTTGAATCGGCAACGAAATGCATGAAATTACTCGTGGCGCTATTTGTGTCAGGTATACTATTAATGGGTCAAGTGATATTGGGGTAGAATGGCAGATAATATGTAACACTAACAATGAAAGAAAGAAATGTAAATGCCAAACAAATTCATACAGAAATCAATTTTGTAGCGCCTACATAGAGATAAAAAGAGGGTTGATTATACTTCTACAGAATATTTAATATTGTAATGTTTTAATAAAATTATTGATTCTTTGTTATGAAGAACTTATTGTAGGTTCCACTACTATCAACTATGTTGAGTACTACGACACTGAATCGAACGAATGGTACGATGCTGCTTCAATGAACGTCAGCAGATCCGCCCTGAGTGCTTGTGTCGTCCACGGATTACCAAATGCCAAAGAGTATACTTTCTTGAGGAGGAACACCATAGAAATTGGACCTGACGCTAGCAATGGTGATCGCTGAAATTTTTAACGAAAAATTGTGGTTTTCGACGTTTTATTTATACACCTTATTTACACATTGCTATTGATTGAACTATTGAAATTCGTCGATTTTGACAATAAAGTGAGTTTATTAGTTGAAGGGACCGTGACTAATTTGTTTTTCTTGTGTTTCGTCTTGAGATTTACTGATTTATTGAAATAAAGTTGGGTATAACCAGGCGTATTTCGGAGACGAATATTTTTGTGGGGTCGTTATTTTTAATGAGACAGATGAAGTGTGGAGTAATAATAATTCGCTCATGAATTCAGTCCGGTCTACTCAGTAAAAGAATTAAAAAATGTGAATTATTTTGATGAACAGAACAATTACTGAAGTTTTCATAAAAATATCACAATGTAATTGCTTCCATCCACTCAGGAGGTGATTTACGTCTGTTCCATCATTCATGTTGCATAAGTTGCAGAGCTATTCTCGTAAGTAGGGTGATCGGAATGCGTTTTAGGTTTCCCACGGAATTATAAGGCTAATGTTGTATAATGCTGGAAGCTGTTGTTGCTCAAAAGGGCACTAGATTAGTTGCTTACATTATGTATGCACGATTATGAGTGATCGGTGTCAAATCAGGAGCAGGTTACTTATCGAATCACCTGTAGCATCGCTTATTGTATCGCTCCAGTGGAAACCGCGCCTAACAGACAGCGGCGATGTTTTTGACAGATATTGCATTTTTTTCGACGTACGGGTGTTGGTCAATCTTTAACTGAACTGGTGGACTCAAATTTATCTACCACATTTCCTGAAAATTCGACTAAATGAACAATTCGTTCAGAACAATCTCAACTCCCTACACGGTAGGTTAATGAACTGACACCTATCATAAGCAACTACTCCCCTGGCTAATTCTTCACCGAAGTTATTCCTGCATATGCTGTTGGCGATACAACTGCCGCAATAGATTTTTAATTATTGGAACACACTTGCAGACCGATTTCGGGTTGTTTGGCCGCTCGTCAATGCAAGGTAGTGTCTATCATCAGCATAAAGTCCATGATTTTCGATAATTGAAAATCGAATTCCTTCAGAGTATCATTCCTCGAACTAGTCTGAAGCGGACAACAAACAACGTGTTTGTCATGGCCCCATCTGCCTGTGAACGAGGTAACCAACTGCATATCCGAAATTTGCCCAATTTCTCGTATAGGGAAAGAAACTTTTCACATATAGTCACATATTTGAAGACTGGCTATAAATCAACAAATTGTTCATTTAGATGAAGGAAAATCACTATAGTCACAATTCATTCACCTTGAAAGACACAATAATACGAAATTTATCAACTATGAATCAACAAACAACTATTGGCAACTGGGTGATTGATCAAAAATATTGAATGTATGTCTTTCCATTGAAGATTGTTATTCCATAACTGGGTGACGGTATTTTCATGAATGGAAAAATAATTCCTCCATTCAACTCAAACTTCAATTGATCAACAATTAATGAATTCCATTCCCGTATCGTTCGCATTCCACGATACTGAAACATCTTGCCATTTCTCCTAACGAGCCTACTTCACGTCTGTGGAATGTCAAGACGTTAAATGGTACGAACCGAATTGGCGAGGTCGGCTATCAAGTCCCTAATGAGGTTGAAAATCGCCAGACTTGAACGACTGAAACAGTTTATTTCTTTCACTTTGACTAATGAAGCTCCTTTCTCTCGTGTGTGGAAGGGGAAAATGAAACTTTTTTCAGTAAATAATTCAGAACAGTCTTGAGTTCCTGTTCATGTCGTAGAAATGAGATTAAGTGTATTTTTCCTGTTATCTCCTCGTAACTGGGTTATTTTTTGATTGCGTAGGGGTATTATTTTTCAATAAAACAGACACATCTTTCCAAATATGAGTTCAGTGTTGGCTAATGAAAACTATTATGAACATTTTTGCGGCCTACATAGCGAATATTATATGAAAAGTTACAAATTGCATAGGTCAGGTTTCACCTCTTTTTACTCAAATCGGTAAATCTGCTATTTTCCATACGAAGTGAGTTAAAACTTGTAGATTTAAAAAACTGGCCCAATGGAACAGCATAGCCTGTACATTATACCATTCTCAGAACCATGTCAATATGATCTGGGGTCAAAATCGAACTTTTGTGAATGAAAAATATGTTCACTTATATTGGGTGTGGGATTTCAACGAAATGTTTCATTCGTTTGAAAGGCATTATGTGTCATTATGTGTGAAATATAACATCGTTCAAATGTCCACTACAGCTTCTCTGTTTAGAGCGCATCCAAAACGTCCAATTTTCTATGACTCTGGCGCATAAATCAGGCTCAATTTCACCGATGGCTCGTATTATGTTGGCTTTTTTGGATCGCTGTAGTTTGTGGCTCATTCGCATACACCTGCAACCTAAGAAATCCATACATGATCTCGGTGGTCCGCTCACATCACCTCCACGAGAGAATATACGTCAGTTCAGGCAGACAGTGACGTCATAACAGCAGTCAGGTTGCCTTTCAGTTCACCCAGTCGACCAGAGTGTACCAAATTGTCACGTGGTGTCCTGTCACACAGCGGTGAACCAATCAGAGTGTACCAAATTTTCACGTAGCGTCCTCAAACTATCCCGCAGCTCGCCATCTGATCAGAGCGCACGCTTCCGCATCTCAGAACATCGTGGCAGAAGATTTGAATTGTCTGTGGATATAAATAATTCAAACAGATAACCAGTCAACGAGACAGACCACCCAGTCACGTGGCGCGCTAATGTCAGCCCACCTTTTTGCTGAACACATTTTTGTTTCATGACCTTATTGAAAAAAATTTGTTGAAGAATTGTTCATCCAATTCAGGCCAAGAGACGTTGGTAATCATCGACCTATAGAGCTCGCCGTTGACAGTGGGGGCCGGGCCAACGTCATTCTCAAAGCAATATAGACCGATGACACCGCCAGCCCAAAATCCACACCAAACAGTGACTTTTTGTGGATTGATGTCTTCCCAAATTCGACTATTTGGTCCGTTCACGTACCCATTCATCCAGAACTGGGCCTCATCACTGAATATGATTTTTCGATAAAAGTTAGGGTCAGTTGCCAACTGCTCCATATTCCATTCAGTGAACACGCGTCGTTGTCTACGGTCTTTTACCTTCAGTTCCTAGGTCAGTTGAATTTTGTACGGGTACCGGCCTAAGTCAGCAAAAATCGCCAAGTTGTGGTCTCCGTAGTGCCGAGTTCTTGTGAGCAAAATCGACTGCTTCGGATTATCCTGCACACTCTCACAGACATGAATAATGCCATTGCTCTACGCTGGCCTGGCTCGGAAGCCTTACAACTAGGCATCTTTCCTCTATTCAACGTCACCACTGACAAGGGGCCCGTGCTCATCCAAACCAGCGGGGGTCGAAGACCCAAAACTTCATTGATTCCCAAAACAAATTACAATTCATCACATGTTACACTATTGCATTACAATATTATATTATTTGAACTTAAATAAACAATCCTAAGTAACGTAAAATAAAGATAATAACAAACTAGTCATCATCATTAAACATCATAATTAAAATATAGGAACTATTTTTATTTTTCCTATTTTCAACAATACAAATCCAGTAGTGTTTGTTTTTTACATTAATTTTGCCAGAAACATCAGAGTTTCACAAATCAGTTTATGAGTACTCAAAAGGTCTGCCCAGATNTCACTGGGACCCTGTCGAAAGCCTTGGCAAAGTCAAGATAAACGATATCTGTCGGTATTTTCCTATCGTAAGCTGTAGTCCAATCGTTCATGCACTGTAGTAGATTGCTGGTGGTTGATCTACCTTTGACGAAACCATGTTTTTCTGGTGGTATGATTGCGTTTTTTGTTAAAAATTCTGACATATCTTCTACGATGATGGATTCCATTACTTTGGAATACGGATAAAAATCTAATGGACCTGTAGTTAATTGGATTGAGTTTATTATCTTTTTTGAAAATATCGGTGACAGATGTCTTCTTCCAAGCCCGTGGGATGCGAGATTTTGCGAAAGAGACTGACATGATTGTTGACAACGGAGAGCAGAGAGTTTCGGCAAAGTTTTTGAGGAAAAAGGGGCTCATTCTATCCAAACCAGGAGATGAATTCGATTTAATGTTCAATAAATGATTTTTAATTTTTTCCGAAGTAAACGTCACATTAGTCAGATTATCACGTATTCGTTCTGCTATAATTTTTGATAATTGGTCATCTCGAGGCTCAACTGTGAAGGAGCTTGTGAAAGAATCTGCCAAAATCTCTGCTGATTCGATGTCTGTAGAACACAAGGAACCATCAGGTTTTCGTAGGAGCGGAACCCTTACTTTGATGTTCAGGTTAGATCGTATGAACTTGTAGTTTTTTATTGTTTTTAGAGTCTGCAATAGATTCTTCGAACTCACGACATGAAGATCGTATTGTTGATACCAAGTGTTTTGAGAAATTTCGATGAGCTTGGTAATCTTCTATGGCTTTTGATCTTTTGTATCTTTTCCAGAGTATTTTTTTGCGATGTATGAGTGACATTATTTCGGCATTGATCCATGGTTTGAGAGTATTTTTCCGGCATATTTTGTTGCAAGAGTTCTTGTCAGCAGAGGCAGTTACGGTCGAGTAGAATTTTTCCTAGAGAATATCAACGTCATCACATACGTTAACCAGTTGTGTCCAATAGATGGTAGAAAGTTCCTCGGATAACTGATCAAAGTCGATTATTTTGAAAACTTCGGTTTCGTACTTGTTTGGAATATGAATGTTGAGCTGAACAGTTGTGTAGATTACTACATGGTCCGATAATCCAATAGGAGGTAAGATTTCATGATCTGTGATGATGTTTTCATCGTTGGTAAAAAAAAGGTCAAGAACAGATGGCTCGTTATTGATTCGGAATCTAGTTGGTTAAGTGATGAGTTGAAAAAAGTTTCAATCGGCAACGAAATGCAGGAAATTACTCGTGGCACTATTTGTGTCAAGTATACTATTAATGGGTCAAGTGATATTGGGGTAGTTGAAGTCACCAGCAATGATGAGGTTGTCAAGGGTCGATAGTTGATTTAAGTAATTGATCAATTGGACATTGGCTTCATGGGATACATCATTAGGTCTGTAGATACATACAATATTTATGCTGACAGTTTCCTTGATAAGGCTGACATATAAGGCCTCCACGCCTTGGATCACGGCAATATCTTGTTGAACTACAAAATCGGTTATGATCTCATTCTATAAATATATACATACTCCACCACCGACACGATTTAATCTGTCCGCTCTGTAAATACTGTACCCTCTTATGTTATCCAATAAATCTGGGTTGGTTGGTTTAAGCCATGTTTCGGAGTATTATGTTAGGTTTGAGATTAACTATGTCACATATGAGTTCGTTAAATTCAGCAGATAATGAGTCTAAGTTAGTATAAAGAATTTTCCAGCATAGATACGGCAGTTGCTGGTTGTTGTTAGATGTTATTTTGTGTCCGAAATTTGATGGAGGTTATTTTGGGAATGCCATGTATATATTTAATGGTGAGATTTTGTTCTCCATTTGTTTTCCTCGCGTCAAGTTCCCCGCGCAGGTCCTTCAGTAGCTGAACTTGGGAGGGAGTTTGGTCACTTATGATGGACAGTTTCACTCTGTCTTCAGTCTTCCTCTCACCATTCATTCTCCACTCATGGTATCTGGCCCCAGCTTCTATATGAAGTGGAAATGTTTTCAGCAGATCTTGCGGTTCATCGATTTACGTCGTTGGTCGATCGATTACTGAATTCATCCACCACCTTGCGAATTGCCCTCTCGATAGGACGATTATGTAAACTGTAAAATGGGCGACGCGCGCGGTACGCTGCCCGAACAGAACACCCATTTTGATAAAACGATTCTGTTATTCGCACGTATTGTTGAATGCTATATCCGTCCATGGTGATTTGGCAAAACAGACTGAATGACTGAAGATGGCCATTATCAATTTTTCATGTCGATAGAGCTGGTTATGAATGAAAGTGATGAAACGCAGGGTGGTGACCATTAACCCACAACCACCAAAACTCTAAAAATCTCAGTGATGCGTATACAATCAATTGAAACTTCCACTAATTTCAAACCGATATTTAATATAAATGATACATATCGATCAGTAAATAACAGTATAAATGAAACTTTTCGTGACAACGCTAAATTTATACGTCTGATGTCCAAAATTTATTTTGCAGTATTCCGCCAATTGAAACAATTACCAGGTTGAGCGTCTTTTAGTCAGAAACCATGTTGATCCTGTAGTAGAACAGAACATTCTGAAAATAGTTACTCTTCAAAATCATTTTCAATCCAATGAAAAGTTTTATTTATGCAGCGAAGGACGAATAATGGAAAAACCCGTTGAATCTTTTGCTTGCTGAAATTTTCATGGATAACCTTAAGAATGAAATTCATAATAATCAGTTAAATAACAGCTTCTCATACTGTTTCAGATACGTAGAAGATATATTAGTTTGCTTCATTGGTACAGGTGGGCAAGTTTGTTGAATTGGTCAATTCCAATCATATATCAATTAAATTCAACACTGAATTGAAAGTAAATAATTTGATAAGTTTTTCAAATTTGGAGATTATATTGATCAACATGATTTTGCAATTTTCCACAAACCATCTCATACAGACATTGTCATACATTCCTCGGCACATTCCTATCAACACAAAGTAGCAGCATTCAACACAATACGAATCCGTAGTCCTCGTATTGTATTGACTCGATTCTTATTGCTCAAAATGACAAAATTTGAGTTTATCCTCAGCTGGGTGCATCAATATAAGAACAAAATCAGGATGATTAAAAGTGGTTCCACTTATGTCTCGCTTGCGTTTACGCAGTTATTTCTATTAAGTACTTTTCTCGGTTTTTCACATTTTGTCTTCAATCGAGGACCGCCTGCCCGGTACTGACGATGCCCAATAGGCTGAAACAGCTGTCTACCGGTAGCCTCTTGAATTGAGTTCAATATGGGAATGAACAGAATGTTACTTATATATTTATCTTTTGATTTTCATGGAATTATTTTCCAGCAGCTTGACTGCATCACCCTTTCTCGATTTCATATCTAGAAACATGTGGATTCGTTTTTCGATAACATTCCAGGTTAGCTTCCCAAATTTCTGCCACGGCAGTTGTCGGTTGATTGGTCAAACCACCAACACTGACATAAAAATTTGGCAAGTTGACTTGGGTGTCACACCAATAAGTGGTTCCACTTATGTCTCGCTTGCGTTTACGCAGTTATTTCTATTAATTACTTTTCTTGGTTTTTTACATTTTGTCTTCAATCGAGGACCGCCTGCCCGGTACTAACGATGTCCAACAGCTGTCAACAGCTGTCAACCGGTGGCTCTTAAATTATTCTTTTCGATTTCATGCTGAATGTATACATACCTCATACGAGAATGTATATACCCCACTAACCCTGTCACCAGTAGTTGCTTCACTTTGAGATTCTAACCTTTGTTTAGAAAATTGTATGGCAAGCTCGCCAATATGAAAGTTTTTATAATTTCAAAAACATGTGTAATTCTCCAAAAAAACATATTTCTTTTCAATTGGAAATGTATCACAAACCCTAAATGACTCAAGCACATTCGTTTCGTTATAAAAATGTTTCAGTTATTGAATTTCACATCATCAAGTTCAAATTACTGATAAGCCACGAAATTCATCCATTACACTTTATAGTCTGAGATTTAGTAGGTGTATCATCCATCTTCTGAATCTACAAAAAGGCGGTGGAAGGTAATTTAAAAATCTAATAAATCCTAGCTTGGATCCAACCCACTGATCCGCAACGATTTAAAATCTGTGATTTCTTGCTAACGATTCAATTGTTGCCAAAATTGTTCAACAGTTTTTCTAGAGCACTGAAAGATCTGGCATAAGCTCTCGCGGTCAATATCGAGCTTATGGATATTTTATAATTGAAAAGAGCCGGTAGAATATATTTTTCGTATGAAATTACTAAAACGCGTGATTTTTTCCAAGTTGGTTGGAATGTTTGCCACTTTGAAACCTTAATATTCAGTAAATATGTTCCTTTTTCTGTTTTCATGTGGTTAATGAAAAGCAGCACTTTCGAAAGTGTTTGAGACTTTGTGAATTGATTCAGAGGTATGCAATTAATTATAGATAAATACAGAAGATATTCTGAATATCAATGGTTCATTTCTAATACGTGAATAAAATATCCCATTCAATGTAACAGTTTTCCATATGAACCGATGTCAGCTGTTGAGAATAATGGTTACATTTTCCAATCCCACTTCTTATACTACATAAGAAACTTTAAGCTGCTGCTTTCGGTATCAGTTGGTCGTCCTTTATTTTATGTTCAAACACTCTACAGAGACTCCCGCCTGCAAACAAATGACCGCAGCTACTAAGCGTGCAAATGGTGTTGCTTCACTAAATTCTAAACCCTCTTCAGCCTCGGTTATGTATTTCGGTGTCCCTTTTGTAGGAAATGTTGACGACATTAATTTATTGCCTGCAGTAATTATATTAACTGAATTTTCACTAATTTAGTAATTCGATGCTATTACACAACTTTCCCAAATCCAAATGAAATATTTGAATATCCGTCTCACCAAACAGTGTAAATTTGTACTATTGAAAAAGGCCACCTTTTGAAAAACTTTTCCATTTTTAATATGTTCATGTATCTCCAGTATCAGTTAGTGATTCTAACCGCAAGGCCGATTGATCAATTTTCACTTCCTAACGTCCAACACGTGTTGGGAATCACACGTTAAAAGGTAAGACCTCGTTAGTTCTTAACTCACACAAGTTTCGACTGTTGATAGTTGTCGTTTGTAGTGGGCGACAGCTGAATAACAAAAAAACAAATTTCAACAGATTAAAATCATCATAATTTTCAGTTTG